ACTGGAGCCCCGTGTGAGGAACAAGGAACTTCGCTGATGAGCTAATTGGACTACGGGTAAGTGTAATCCCATAAAATATGGGACATTCTTCTTCCAAGCCTGATCCCTCTCTTGAATCCCTTAGGGTCCTCCTCTGAAGAAGAGGCCTAGAGCTCTCTGATAGCCAAGCAATCAAAACCTGGGAGACCGTAGTTAAGGTAGCCCCATGGCTGCCTGCAAGTAATTTGTTTGACTGGTAAACCTGGGACAGGGTGGAGCAACTCGTACGCAAAGCCCAAGTTAATCGGGGTGATATCCCCCCTCTGGGGACCTTCCTCACTTTAGCAGCCCTTAAGAGTTGCTTCCCTCCTTGGCCATCAAAGCCAGCTGCCAAGAACTTAATAGACAGGGAAACCGCCGGGTCGGGAGCCCCTTCCCGAGGACATTCTGATCCCCTTCCTCAGGCTGAGTCCACACCAGCAGGACAAGAAAGCCGTAAAGAGCCAGATGAGAATCAATAGTAGCAATGGCGCCCTCGACCCTTTTGATGCCGCCCCCTGGCCTCCCAAATCCAAGGCTCCTTTGTACCCACCACTTCCTGGTACTAGTTCCTCTTCTAACCCTTTCAAACCATCATCAGCCCACCCTCCTCCATAGCCAATGAGCAGGGGTTTCAGCTCCTCTCCCATACAAGGACTCATGCTCTCCTATTGGCTGCCAACCCCAAGAGAATCCATTGTTCCACCCATAACTTAACCCAGGGCCACGTTAGCTATTTCCAGTCAATGTTAATCCCGGAGGTAACCACCCTGCCCCCTGGTACCCTTGGGAGCCAAGTGACCTTAAAGAATTAAAGAAAGCCGTTCTTGAGGATGGCCCCAATGCTCCTTGGACTGAGACCATCCTCCAGGGACTTGCTCACCATCCATGTACCGCCGCAGACTGGAGGGCTCTTGCCCGGGCAGTTCTCCCTAGCCCCCTTTATATTAAGTGGTGTGCTTTGTATAAAGAGGAATGCCAGCAACAAGCTGAGAGGAATCTGACATACTCTTTTACATATATATGGATGATATTATCTTGGGGGCCACTTGTTCCCGCAAATTAGACGACCTTCAAACGGTGCCTTTCCCTGCTCAAAAACTACAACTTTCAAATTACCCCAGATAAAGTTCAACAGATAGCTCCTTTTAAAATTTTGGGGACTACTTTAACATTAGATGTTGTCTCCCCTGTTAAGCCCCAGTTATGTATTCAGGACGCGTATATGCTACCACAGCTCCAGAAATTGCTGGGAGAAATCAATTGGATGAGGCCCTGGATTCCTATAACCACAGCTGATCTTATCTCTCTTTTTGACCTATTAAAAGGCCTTGATCTAGCTTCAACAGTGACTTTAAACCCTATACATAGAGATACATTAACAAAAGTTCAACATACCATTGATAATGCTGCCTTAAAAAGATACGATCCAAACTTGCCGCTGGTCCTCTATATTATGGCGGGAGAGACCCTCCTCACTGCCCTTTTAGCTCAGGAGGGGATCCCGTACATTGGATACATCTATCTGTGGGAGGGGCACCCCGAGTGTACTCTATAGTGGATCAGATGGCCGACTGAATTGTCAAAGGACAAGATCTTTCTGTCCATCTTTTTGGGTGTGAACCCCACTCTTTGATCATCCCTTTTCAGGTCAATGATTTCTCGTGGCTACAGATAAATAATTCCAGATTTGCAATGGCCATGGAAAGCTTTCCCGGGATAGTGGACTGTCACTATGGTCCCTATAAGTGGATGAGTTCTTTTAGCCAGTTGGTGTGGCAGCCGCCAAAAATGTTCCTCACTGAGGCAGACTCCTCTTTCCCCTCTGTTTTTACCGATGGGGGTAAACGGGGAGCCTCTATGGTAATGTTCCCCCCAGGCACAAGTGAGTGCCCTCTGGCTGTAACCCTCTTTCATGAGGTGCAGCGCTCTGCCCAGATTAAAGAGCTTTATGCTGTTGCTTTAGCTCTATCTGAGATCCAAGGCCCTCTTAATCTGGTTTCAGATAGCATTTACATTGTCAATCTACTGCCCAACCTTGTGGGCGCACACATCAGACTTGATGATAATCCCATCACTCCTTTGATGATTCAAGCCCGCAATTTGTTAAAACAGAGACTAGTTCCCCTTTTTGTACAACATCTAATGGGACATCAAGATTTTCCAAGCTTTTTGTCGAGAGGCCACTGCTCTTGCTGACCAACTAGCTTCAGCCTACACAGTACAGGAGGCCAATGCTCTTGCCGACCGACTAGCTTCAGCCTACACAGTACAGGAGGCCACCTCTTTTCATCAACTTACACATGCTAACTGGAGGGGACTACACCATCAGTTCCCTCAGGTCCCCGTCAGAGACTTAAAAAAGATCATTAGAACATGTAAGTCATGCCAGCCCTTTTTACAGGTTCCTCCGCTTCAAAAGAACGGAGTGAACCCTCGAGGCCTGAGGCCCAATAACCTTTGGCAGACTGATGTCACACATTCTGCCCCTTTGGGGAAGCTTAAATACATATTTCTAACAGTTGATACCTTCTCCCATGCTTGTTGGGCTACAGCCCATACGGGAGAAAAATCCAAACATGCCATAAGACATTTTCTCCAGTGCTTTGCCGTTCTCGGCTTGCCAGATCAAATCAAAACTGATAATGGTCCCTGCTTTATCAGTAGATCTTTTACTGAATTCTTGAGTAAATGGCAAATTTCTCATGCCACTGGAATTCCTCATAACCCTAAAGGACAAGCAATCGTGGAAAAACACAATCATACCCTCAAATGTCAAATAATAAAACAAAAAGGGGGGACACTCCCCCCCCATGATCAACTAAAGATGGCATTATTTACTCTAAATATTTTAAATTTTGCCAAAGGCGAACACTTCTCGCCTTTTCAGAGACACTGGACAACATCCATTACTTATCAGACAATTAGAGTCTGGTGGAAGGACCCCCTTACTGGAGAATGGAGGGGCCCAGACCCCCTCATTACAGCTGGAAGGGGATTCAGCTGTGTCTTTCCAACCAATAAAAAAAGGCCGATCTGGGTCCCTGCAAGGGATATCAAGTATTACCCCCCTACAGAGGGGGAGTTCACTAATGTCAATGATGACCCAGAAGGCCCCCCGCTCCTGAGGATATCTCTCTTCTCTCTCTCTTTCAGAGTCTACAATGAACCCAATGATGCTGGTCTTCCTGTTAGTAGCGATGAATCTCCCATTAGCTAGGACAGGATTTGGAGATCCCGGTCAAGCAAGAGCCATACTACAAAAAACCACCGGAGACCCCTGCACAGCCTGCACTCACTCCAAGGCCCCTCCCCCTGCACACTGTTATACTTCTACCAAAACCTGCCCTAATGAGCAACAGGCAGTTACACTTGTGCAAGGGACAGAAAATGGATGCCCTGGGAGAGTTCTCTCTCACCATTGTTGGCCAGGTCTCAAAATATCTTCACCTGCCCAAGGGAAATCCCCCTCTGAGTGTCCTTGCACCACTTTTCTTGCCTCCGTTCATGCTCAATGCTATCAGGAGGTTATCCCCTGCACTCACCGGAACAAAACATACTGGTATGCAACTCTGATAAAAGGCAAGGCTGAATATACTGACTGTCGAAAGAATAGGGGACAGCAAGTCTGTTGGAATACATATGCCCCTATAGGTATCTCTGATGGGGGTGGAGTCCAAGATCAGGCTCAACAGTACCAAAATTAAAAAACTGATAGACAGGCTGATTGAACACCAAAATCCCCCAATTTACCACCCTCTTAGCCTCCTGGAGATCAGGGGAGAATTGCTTCTTGATCCTGAGACAAAATCAATCGTACAGGCTGCTTTTACCTTACTCAATAGAACCAATCCCGATTTAGCTAAGGATTGCTATCTGTGCTTGAGGCCGGGACCATTACAAGCCAATGCTCTTCTTGTTAACCTGTCACAGACCGAGCCCCAGTGCCAGCTGTTATCCTCAAGTTCTAGAGTCTATCTAGACCGTCTTTCCCCTAAAGGCCCATGCTTCAAAGCTGACCCCCATACTGATAATACTAGTGGGATAGATGTAGGTCAAATCCACTATTCTTTTTGCCAACAAAATATTACTGTGAACAATACCTTTCTCTGTCCCCCTAATGGAACAGTCTGCATTTGTGGGGAAGATGCGTTTGGCTTTCTCCCGACAGACTGGATGGGGCTTTGTGCTCCAGCTGTAATTTTCCCTGACATTGGAGTGGTCCCTAATAATCAGAGCCTCCCTATTCCTGCTTTAGACCACATTGGAGGTAGATCAAAAAGGGCCATCCAAGTTATCCCCCTGCTTATAGGCCTTGAGGTGGCCACCAGAGCTGCCACTGAGGCAGCAGGATTGGGGACCTCTCTGCATTATTATAAAGCTCTTTCTCAACAGATGATCGATGATATACAAGCTGTAGCCAGCACAATTCTTGACCTCCAAGCACAAGTGGATTCCCTCGCGACAGTAGTCCTACAGAACCGTAGGGGGCTTGATCTCCTCACAGATGAGAAGGGAGGCTTATGTCTCTTTTTACAGGAAGAGTGCTGCTTCTATGTGAACCGCTCCAGCATAGTCCAAAACAAGGTCAAGCCACTTCAAGAAGACCTCGAGAGACGCCAAAAAGAATTACAAGCCAATTTTCTTTGGACTGAGTTACATGGGTGGTTGCCCTATATTCTGCCCTTCCTTGGTCCTATGCTTCTTTTGCTCCTACTTTTCACTTTTAGGCCCTGCATTATTAACAAGATTATCCAGTTTGTCCAAAAAAGAACTCAATCAATTCAGTTGATGTGTGTGCAGGTACATTACCAGAGAGTTGCCACTGAAGCCAGTGACCCCTATGATCACTGTGAACCTTATGATGAGGCCGTGTCCGTTAATTCCCCCTAACTATCTCCCCGCACGCCCATGACGGGTAAGATCTCCAAGGTGGAGACAACCTAAGACAGGCCATGGAGGATGAGTAAGCTTGGGACAACCGAAGAGCTGCAAGGTACCCAGTGACGGGTAAGATCCCCAGAGGGGGACAACCTAAGACAGGGGCCTTGCCTGCCGGGACATCCCAGAGCATTTATAAAACAAAAAGGGGGAATTGTTGGGACCTTTTGCCTCTTTTAGGCCTGTGACAGCCGCAGACTGGAGGTTTCCATCCTCCCTCATTACTTCCGCATTTGTGGCCTAACTAGCTTCCCACGCTCACGCTCTTGGCCCTAACTCCGCCTCCCCACCTAACCCGAAACCTGCCTAAAGACCCTAGTGACAGATGAGATAATAAATTCCCATTGGTTTCTGTTACTTCCTATCTTCCCCTATATAACTAAGCCTCTGATGAAATAAAGCTGAGTTTTGCTGCGCCCTTGAGGCTGACACATCTCCCGGCTTGGTATGGTTTTGTTTTTCCCCGGATCTCAGGGGAGGGTGTCCAAGCCGCCGAGACTTGCCCTCTTGCTCAGCCCCGGGGGATAACAGGCTGGTCCTGCTTGTCCCCCCGCCTTCTTGTTGCTGAAGAGCAACACTTGGGGACAAGGCCTGGAGGCTGGTCTTCTGTGTATTCCTGGAAAAACAGCAGAATGGCCGCCAAAGGTCACAGTAGTATATCCTGAATGGCCAGAAGGTAGGAGCATCTTACCGGGGAGTTTTATTTTATCATTATGGCCAATGCATGCACCTCCAGTAGCACTATATATAGACCCTTCAATAACCCCCACAGGGAAAGGAATAAAAGTATGGTATACTAGACCTGGAAGGGACCCCTTCCTGCTACAGTCCTATCACAGGACCACTCTCATGCATGCATACTACCTGATGGACAAGATTTTCCTATGTTGGTGGCATTAAAACATGTATCTTATCACCCCTAAAGTCTTGAGGATTGGTAACTTCCTCTGGCTTGAGGATTATTATAAATTTTGTTACCTATATCAAAATCTTGCTGTATCTTAATTTTTATTATCTCTAAGTTGTTATCCTCTGTTGCTATTGTGGAATCTGGTTACAGTGCTCCATCTTTCTCGCACAGGGACCACTGCAGAAGATTGAAAGCATGTAGATTGTAAGGTGAGAATCCTGGAGCAGTGGAGTGTGGGAAAGTTGGGGTTCCTATGGCCAGGATCCTCAATGAACTTAAACCACCTGATGATGTATCTGGCCTGTTGCTGCGCTGCCGCTTCCACACCTGTGGGCAATAAGCTACTGTTGCGCTATATAGAGAGCTCGGCCCAGTGCTCTGCATGGAGGCTGAGACGCTAGTGCTCGACCTACCACTGGAGAACAAGCTGGGTAATAAACTCTTTCACCCCAAGAATGTTTTGCTGTCGATTCCTTTGGTCACACTGAATCCATACTGAACTTGCCCGGGACTGAAACCCATTGGCAACACAGGCTCTCACTGGCAACATTTGGGAAAACACGAACAACAAAAAGAATAATCATAGTAACTGATAATATACTGACTAAATAAAAATTCAGAAGTCCATTGTGATAGTTAAAAGACAGAGAGAGAAGAGAAAGAAGGAAAGAAAGGTCTTCTTCACAGAAGAATGCCAGCTAATAAATGTGGAAGATAAAATCAAATTAGAACATCACTACTTTACAACCTGCACTGTAGGTGACTCAGGCATCATTAATAGATCCTAGAATCACTAGGTAGAAGGCCGTTGAGCAACAAGATATTCCCAAGAAGTCAAACTCTCACTACATAGATTATTTACTCATTTCCAAAGAGAAAAAAGGTACCTTACAACAGAGTGATCTAGAGATCACCATGAAAACCCATGAGTCAAATTCAGTTTCACTCGGGTAGGATCACCTGACATCATGACTCATGAGCCTCCAGATGGGATGAGGTAGGAAGTATATAACTCAGCTATGACTACTTAAATTTAAATAATCAAAATTTAAAAAATTAAAAATTCAGTCCTTAGTGTCACAAGCCACATTTAAAGTACTCAGTAGCCACATATGGCTAGTAGCTACCATGTAAGACAGCATCAGTGTAGGGAACATTTCCATCACTATAGAAAGCTTTTTTGGGCAGTGCTGCTCTAGACTGAATTTTGTTGATAGCAATATAAGAAATACCATACAAGTTAAATGACACTTCACAGATACAACCAGACAAATTCAGGTGAGTCATTCTATAAGCAACTAGGCTGCCTTCTTCAAAAGCCAGTGTTGTGGGAAGAAGAGTGGTAGGGGACTAAATTAGATTGAGACTGAAAAAGACAAAATAACCAAATTAATGTATGAATCCTAGCTGGCTCCTGGTCTGCAAAAATAGAGACTTTAGGAGGAACTGGGGAAATCTAAATATTGGCTGAATATTAAATGATATTATGGAATCACTATTAATTTTCTTAAGTGTGATATTGGTATGATTACAGAGATCATCCTGGTTCTTAGGAGAGCCACACTCAGTTATTTAGAGGAAAAGCATCACGGTGTCTGCAGCATGCTTACAATGGCTCAGAAAAAAGTATATACACACAAAGCAAATAGAGCAAAATTATTTATAACTATGGCATCTAGGTAGAGAATATATATATGAGTGGTCTAGTCCATTCAGGCTGCTTAAACAGACCACTGACTGGGCAGCTTATAACCAACAGAAATGTGTTGCTCACAGTTCTGGAGGCTGGCAAGTCCAAGCCCAAGCTGCTGGATGGGTCACCTTTTGATGAGGGCCCTCTTCCTGGCTCAGAGTCCTGCTGCTCACTGGGTCCTCCCATGGTAGAAGGGGCCAGGGAGCTCTCTGGAGTCTCTTTGATAAAGAGATTAGTGCCTCATGAATGAGTTCCACCCTCATGACCTAAGGGACCTAAGGGACCTTTCAAAGGTCCCCCCTACTAATACCATCACTTTTGGGGGTTAGATTGTCAACATATGAATTTGGTGATGGGGACACAAACATTCAGGCCACAGCATGAATATTCATTATAATCATTCTTTCAGTTTTTCTGTGTACTTGAAATTTTTACAATAAAAGGCTGGGGGGAAACTGCTAGAAATAAAAGCAGAAGAAAGGGAAGTACTGAATGAAGCCAACTTCCCTTATAGCCAGGCTTCAGCTAGGCTAACTCAGGCAACCAGCACAACCAGTAAGAAAGAGGCCTAGCCCTCCCAACATGGCACAAGTTGTGGAGTAGAAAGTTGCCAAGTACCTTGAGGGCATGAGGCCAGAATGAGAGAGGGCTGCAAAGAGCAGTGCGGCTCTGGGTGGCCTAGCCAAAGGGCAGGAAGGCAAACTCCTTGGGGCCAGTTCCACCCCTTCTGCCTCTAACATCCTGTCTGACCAGGACAAAGGAGCCCAGACCACAGTAAGAACCCTTTAAAGAAGGAAGCAGTCTCTGGAAGGAACACTAACGTTGCTCAAATTCGATCACCAGGCCAGCAAATGCGCCATGTGCCAGGTGTGCCAGGCAGTGGCAAGTTACCATGCCCATCACAAGTTAACTATTTGTAGAGGACACAACGTATAGATATTCCATTAATTCCTCAACTAAACTAGGAATCTGAGAAAATGCAATTTAAAGTTCTTTTATCAAAACCAGTCCACATGGCAATTCATAGGGAAAACTGGCAGTTAATCTTAAGGATGAAAAACAACATTAATGACTGCCACTAATCTGAAACTTACTGCTCATTATTTTCAAAACAAGACAAAAAATACAAATAAACAACATAGTACAAAACAAGATGTCACCTTCAGTTCTTGAAGCTTCTCTGTATTTGTGGTAAAGTGTCCAACATGAGTTTGGACATGCTCAAACCGCTTTAAATATTCTTGGTTTCGAATAAGAGCCTTCTTTTCTGACTCACATATCTCCTTCAGGTATCTCTTTAGTTTTACATACTTCAGCTTAACTCTAGAAAAATAAAAGCAGATTTTTAAACAATGGAGTTAGGCTTTGACAAATCTAAGGAGAATTTAACAAAATTGTTAATGAGACTATGTATTCAAAGATATTTTACCCAAACACGGAAATCTGAAGGACAGAACATGGATGCATTTTTAGAGAAGAAATTTATCCAACATCGCTGAGGTATCACATCTGGACATAACTCCTGAGAAATACATACAGGACACATCATAACATTCACACAGTAAATATTTACATGGATTTCCTTCTCAAAATTAAATGTGATTTCAAGAGCACTGTCTCTGTGACCATGTTCAGGCAAACATCCGATTAGCATTCTTTCATATGACAATTTCAAAACTATCTGTTTATATGGAAATAGAATCAAACTATAAACCACAATCCATAAATACTAAGAAATTTTGAAATCTAAAATGCCAAAAACTTCTCATTTAGATATTAAAATTTTTAGTTAGAAATACAGCAACATACTATGATTATTAAGATATTTTGTAATACTGTCTAGACAGTAATGCTACTCAAATTGTGAAAATATCTTTAGAGACTCATCTGAAGTGTACTATCAAAAGACACACTGGATTGCTTAAGTCATGCAGTCCACTCTTGGTGTGGGACCAACACTGCTAATTCTAGCTCCTTCTTCTCCATGAGTATTTAAGTCACAAAAGAGTGTGTGGTATACAGGATTTCTATCTTTGGTTCAATAAATTATTCAGCATTTTTTTATTAAGCAAAAATAAGTTGAAAGCCACAAACATGTTCACCCTCAGAAACAGATTTGCGAATATACTGAAGATGTTAAAAATTAATCAACAGACCTTAAACCTCTACCCCTAAGCCTATAATTTAAAAAAGAATCTGTACTATGCTAATAATTCTGTGCCTTGGTCTTGCTTGGCTGTCCCCATTTTTCCTTCTGAACAAACACTTAAGAATGATTTTACTACAGCCCACATCTGCCATTTTTGACACAAGCGACAGTAATGGAGGTGGAACCAAACCTACTGTCTTTCACACGCAAGCACTTGGTGAAGCTGCTCGTGGCAGCCAGTGTCCATCTGGAGTAGGTACAATAATAACCACGCTGTTTCCACCCAAGATCT